GTAGCAAAAGTTCAAATTTACAATGAAGAGCCACCAGTCTACTTGACAGAAAACCAGATTTATGAGAGAGACCAGCTGGACTGCAAGCCCAGTAAGAGTTACTGTAATTGCTTTTCTCCTGAGAAAAATTTTCCTTACAAGCTGCACCTTTAGAAATTGCTGAGCTCAAGGGCTGCAAGGGCTTAGAAGGCAGCAGCAAGAAGGATATCTTCTTTCCAAGACACTTGGAAGGAAAACACTAAACAAATTGAGTGGGTACAAGAGGTGGGTCCCCTGCAAGTATTCTCACATCAGAGGTAAATTTTCCTTTGGCTCTGGCAGCAGCAGAATTACAACCACGAATAATACCATTTTGGAAATGCTACTCTGAGTTTTAACTGGTATCTGTGTGCACATGTTTGTATGTACATACAAATATATAGAGCCTGTGTTTTCATTACACCTGTGTATATTATGCAGACATAAATTAAATTTTTAATTAATTTTTAAAATAAATTTTATAATTAAATTATATATAACAACATTCATGTGTATTTTTATATAATGTAGTACTCCATATTACTAAGCAGAATTCTAACAAAAAAATTAACTTTCAAAATGCAATTCACTTATGTATTCTCATTTTTATTTGCACTGCAGCAGATCTTTAAACCTTTCCTGTAGACGTGCAGTGATCATATCAAAAAACACTGCTTGAGGCTGGTTACATCAGCCAATTATACTGTTTTATTACTTCCTTTTTCTGTGAGATTGGGCACTGAAAACAAATCAATTAATTACACTCCTGCATTTTCTCAATAAAGAGCCTTTAAGGATCAAGATTAGATATGCCTTCCATGCTGAAATGTTATTTTAAATTACCCTTTTCAGTTCACTTCCCACTTCCAATGTGTAATGCATGGGGCACAGCTCCATTTGTTTGCTGTTCCTACCAGAGTTTGAAAACTCTGAAGAAAAAACAACCCACATTTTAAAAAAAAGACCTTCTAGAAATCTGTCATGGAGGAGAAATTCATTGGGTGGAAGGCGTTCAGTGGGTGCATATGAGAGGCAGCCAGAAGAGTAAAAAATGGAATATTAAAGCACAAGAAGGGACACAAAGTGTGGAAACAGCAACAAAGCTAAAGTCAAGTTGAGGAGAAGGACGCCTTCAGGCTGGAGAGGGCTCCTTCAGGCAGAGCCAAGGCAGGCTGGGATGAATGAAACAAACCCAAGTGTTGCCACGCTCGCTGCACATCGAGACAGGGCCAATATGCTCCACTGCAACTTCAGGGAAGATTCTCACATTCCCACAAATATGGAAGCAAGAGCTCTTATAGGAAAAGTGCACAGTGTGGGTGTTACTGCTGCTATTTGTGCTTCAGGAGGAAAAGGTCCTTCAAGCTCATGACCAAATTTCTTCTGCCCCTTCTGCAGTAATGTCAGACATATTCAAACCAATCTAATGTTGTGGAAGATATTATGATGGGATAGATTCAATATTTTGATTTCACCATGATGAAAAACTTTGATAGTATCAAAGTTACTATCAGTTACTGCTTTTGTTTGTATAAACAGGATCACTATCAAAAGTAAATAAATGTTTAATAAAAATGAGTCATAAGGCTGTTCCTGGCTGTCTAGAAAATGTAGCAAATTCCTTTTCAAAGTAGCCACAGAATCAGACAATAAACATTATTTTCTGAATTATTCTGCACAGCCATAAAAAAAAAAAAAATGAGCTGGGAACAATTTTGTGACAGCTCTATAGAGATTCCATGGTAGTTGATGAAGAAACAATAAGGTTTTTCATCATTATTTTCCATAGTTCCTGGAAAAGGCTGTTGTTCAGCCTGCAAACACCACAAGTACATGCAAGTGTGTGAGACACATGCATATACAAATATTTGGGTACAATGTAGACACCAGTGACTGAAAATAAAACCTGCCTGTTCTTGCACCTGAGCTTTCAAAGACATTCAAAAGAAAACATCAATCTTGTATCCTATAGAATCTCTCACCTGAAATTAGAAAGAGGCAGACTTACAATACCTTGAATTCAAAGTTTGCTACTAGAATGAGAACTGTTACACAGGTGAAAACATAACCAATGGCCCACAAAAAACAAGACTAATAGAATCAGAGTTTCACAGGATTCTCAGAGCAAAATGTACTAAATTTGCTGGGAATTATTTTTAGAACAACAGTAATTGTTTCATATTCAGTGATAAAGCTTGTCTAATATTTGTATCAATCGATACTGCAGGTAATGAACTTTGACTTCCATCTGTTCTGCTCATCTTTAGAGGTTCTCATCAATGTATGACCATATTTTTTATATAAACATTCTTATATTAGCCAGATTACTGTGAAAATTCATCAAAACAAATGTTACCTTGGAGTACATAGGTGATAACAAAGCCTCTCCTAGTGAGAGCAAAACATCTTAGAAATCAACTCTTTTAATCTAAATACCATACTGTACCAGTCTTGAGTATATCTGTGTTAAAACCTTTTAAAAAAACTCAACCAAAACAAAAAATCCCTACAATCTGATCTTTCTATGTATAAAACTCTTTGGTGAAACTCCAGTATCATAGAAACCGGGCATGTGTTCTGAACACACAAAACCAGTGTGATTAAAGGGTTCTGTCTATTTAAAACCTCCAGGAACTTCTTAATTTTAGCCTGAAAGTGGCCATTGCTGCTCTACATACAAAGCAGCAGAATGAATATAATACATGTCATAAATTAAACATCATAGGGATTCTTAATGTTCCATGAAGGCATTTATTCACACTGAAAGGTAACATTTAGGTATTATCTTTTGTGCTAGTGATGGAGTATTACTCATTCGTCAGTTCTTTCCAGAGATTTTGCTATGAATATTCAGCTCTTGATTACAATAATGAGAATCCAAGGTGCTCTGCAATACTTGGACTCTGGTATTGTACCATTGTCATAGAGATGAACCAGAGTGAACACGGCTACAGTACCACACATGTCACTCAGAACCTCATGTGATGGGGTAGATCAAGCTCACACTGCATGGAGTGGAGGAGGAAAAGTGTCTTTGGAAACAGAAATGTCAACTAATTTCGAACTCTGAAATCTGTCAGAAGGGACATGACTACATATTCCTTCCTTGGACTCAAATGTCAGGTGGCAGAAGATGAGGAAAAAGAAACAAAATTTTCAGAATGACAGTAATGCTGAAGAAAACCTAGTTCTGTGAGGACAAAGGCTGCTTAAGGGGTCTGCCATAACTTCTGTGAAGCTGGCAAAATACTTGGAAGTATTTCAGTTATCACTATCATTGTTATTATTACTGTTTCAAGTCCATCAAGTTCTCAGCAAATGAGGAAAAGGGCTGGGATATGGATGTAAAACAGACTCCATTCCTAATCATCCTGGAGATAGTGCAGAGGTCAGCTATTCTGAACAGCACCTGCAATGCACAGCTGTAGGAATAGACATTAAACAAGTTAGAAAACACAAAAGCTTTTCCTATTACCCTGTCTGCAAAACAAACTTCATCTAGTCTTGGTGAATCTGGCTGGGCAGATTCAGGGAGAAAGAGTGCTAAGGAATATATTAAAGAATTACAAAAATACTTTAAAATGTTGTATTTTTCAAAAGAAGTTTTGAGTAATGTAAGAGCTCCTGCCTTTCACATCAGAGCATATCAGACCAATAAGTTTGTCCCATGCATTCTCTTTTGATACTAAATTAAAATTTGAAAGACTTTCTGATATGAGAAATTAAATCTCAGAGTTAAATGGTTTCTCTGTAGGCTTTGTTTCTAGTAAAATTGTGGAAAACTGCCTTTGTTAAGGACAGCTACTTAATGCTTGCATTTGTCATGTTAGTCTGAGTGGAGTTGATGTCCCTATGTCTCATATGTTCCCAAGACTAGCTATGGAAGTAACAAAAAATGTCATATGCACAATAACTACCAAGAGCATAAATAAATCCACAGCTTTTTTCAGCACTTGTGTTCAACTTCACAATCATAGACATATGTGGCACCATGATTTACACATTCATTGGCATCTTTGTTATCACTGACAACTATTTTTAATCAGATTTACTTAAAGGGGGTCATAGCATGAATGTAGCTAACGAGTATTTCTGGCCACAACACCAAGCAAAGTGATGCACACAAAGAGGAAAATGTGCTGCATCGGATGTCAAAACTGATACGTAAGACAGCAGCGGGAATCACCAGCACTAATCAAAACCATTTGTCCTTATGGGTCCTTCCTACAGTTCACACTGTGAAGTAGAGTCATCCTGATCTCTCCCAGGAGAGATCTGGTCCTGCTGCTGCACAGAATGTGTTTACAGAATGTAATAAAGGAAGGAGATGATCCCTACAACATTAGCTCATCTTTAGCAGTGCATAGTAAAGAAACAATATCCTTACTAAAACCATTTGTTAATTCTCTTCTGAATGCTGCACTGGATGAAATGTAACTAGGAGGAATGGGAAGAGAAAATGTAGACTCAGACACAAACAGAAGCTTTGGACAGTCCATTAAATCATCCTGGGTAAAATTTTTACTGTTGGATGATATTTCCTTGCTGTAGAGTTTTAGGGCCATGCAGTATTCTTTTGATTAATTTCTGTTCTTCACTCCTTTGTTGAGGAGAACCTTTTCCAGAGCTGTGGTTTCCACCATGCTAATGATATGGTTAATGGTCCTTGGCTGGTGGGCAGATAACATTGGCCTACATTCCAACTGACAGCAATCTCTTTTCTCCTTCACTTTGAATAAATTCAGCTCATCCTCTAGTATACATCCAGACCATATAAGTGGTGCAGTTCTATGACAAATGTGAAAAGCAAAACTATCCAGAAGAGTTGGATAGTTGGTCCAGCATTTAGACATGAGTGGTCTAGGGTACTGCTGGCACTGTTACACAAATAGGGAAACATACAGGTAATTCTTAAATGCAACAGGATAATCTTAAGACTGGTTCAACAACCCTTTTTTTTCCCAAACAATTACAGTGTTTACCTTCAGTCCTGTCCGGTAGTTTCCCACTTTTGCTTGTTGTTCCAGTGTTGACTGTTTCAGACGAGGTGCTCAGTTTGGTGTTGGGGTCTCGCTTCGGTTTTGGAGGCGGCTGCTTTCGAGAGCTGCTGCTTTCATCATCGGTTCCTCCAACTGAATGAAGAGACTGGGATCTGACAGTGAAGCCACTGGAGCAGGGGTGTGGCAGTCTGTCCTGAGGAGCAGGCATTGTCATAAATCCCATGCGGAAATGTTTCCCCACGTAGCTGCCTTCATTTCCTCTTGCTACTTCTCCGCCTATGCTGTAAGAGAAAATACAAATATAAGTAAAATGTCCTCCTTTGCCTGAACTGCACCTGGGACCAGGGTCTCAGTTCTGCCTGTGACAAGCAGATGATGTTTTTGAATTTAAAAACAAGCAAAGCTCTTCTCTGAAAAGAAGATGACTACTAGAAAAGGCTATTTTTCAACATAAGCTGCCAACAACTCAGACATAGATACACTGCTATGCAGTGTATCTGAGAATTTTACAAGAAGAAATCAAGAAAAGCTTTTGTCAGGTTTCATAGTATTCATAGCAACTAGAAATTTTCTACAGAACAAATTTCAAAAATTTAAAGTCAGAACTGAGTTTTCAGGAAAACAGGAGACTGTGAGTAGGGCAAAGAATAACACTTTAGAAATACAACATGGTGTATTGATCCACACTCCCTGACACTCATTTTTGACTACAGATGCTCATGTAGCTTGGGAAACAAGGCTCATGATGTCCAATCAATCTTTTCCCTTGAGACTAAAGGATGGTAAAGAAGAAATGTTTTAAAAATTAATTGGATATAGGAAACAACATCACATCAAATCCACAAAAATCTGCAACACAAGCAGCTTCAGACAGTAAATTACAAGTATAGGAGATGAAAATGCCATGGACTGTGGGACACTAGGAAGAAAATAACCTCCAGCCATTCAGAAAAACAGGTAAAGAAGAAGGAAAGTTCAGTTAGAACAAATGCTACCATACCAAACACTGCATTTTTCTGTGGGTGGCATGACTGAGTACTTGACATTATTCCTGTTCCACTCATGCTTATCAGTTCTGAAAAACAGCTCTTACTGGTGTTTATACTGCAAACCAACAGCACATTTCAATTCAGGCAAGTCAGTGACTATGCAAAGAAACTCAGCAACACACACAGGTCAACGTGGGCCTCTTTGCAAGGAGGTTTGAAATGGTACCAATGTGGGCACATAGAAATGTCAGTACAAGAACTGTGAAGTATCAGAAAGCTCTAATTAGCTCCTGTTTCCCCTTCACACAGAGTGAAGCTATAAGCTGGGTCAGTATGCTTCTCTGGAAGTTTCTTTCTTCATGTTGCCTTGGGCTGGTGCAGTTTATTTGGTGCTGGGACACATTTCCTTTTTTAAAAGATGAGAACGTTTCTCAAAAATGTGAAAAGTAAGCAAGGTCACCTCATTTCCTGATACTGTCCCCATCTGCACTGTAGGTAAAACACAAGCTGTATCTAATTGTCCTAAAAGCATCAGACTGGCAATGAGCAATACACAGCTTTGTGCATGATAAAGCAGAACTTTTGTTTGCTCATTACTCTCCCTGCTTTTTTATTCCATTTCCTCTCCAAGTGGAGATGTCCACTTTCAAAACTGGTTGACAACCCAACAGGTCTAACTGATCATGTGCCGTTTTCCAGGGGCACTGACACCTACCCACATATGTAAATGTGTGCACACAAGCAGGCCAAAAATATGCACACACTGGTCCATGTTCATGCAACATTTAGTAACCAAGATGTTACTAAATCCTAATTGGCATCAATCCCAAAGGGATTTGCAGCCAGAAAGATCAAAAGGTGGAACTCATTAATTTGAATATTTCTAAAAACCTGTAGCTAGTTTGAATGATTAACTATCCCTCTACTAATCTTCTGTAAATTGTTCTGAAAATAGTATAGTCCTCTGACACTGGACTACAGAAGGAGCCTGTCATATTATTTAAAGATTACTATCCAAACATGCTGAAGAATGCAGGTGGGGAGTCTGCTTCCTTCCTTAAGTCCATTGGATAATCATGTTTAGCAAAGAAAATTTTGGTTTGCCATGTCTCCAATGTTACAATTCTTAACAGTTTCACTATTTAATTACATTTACTAAATAAATTGCATTTACTTCACTGGTGCATGAAGGTGTTTGAACCATCCACTATAAGCCAGGTTCTGTTCTGGGTGGACTTGCACAAACCCCTCTGAAGTGATACATTTCATCCTTTTCCTAAGAATACACAGAACTGCATTTATATGAAACAAGTAGTTTGAAACAGGAGTTTGTTGTTTTTTTTTTTTGCCAAACTGCTGCATCTTGTATTCCAGAAATTAAAACTTACAAAATGAATGCCTGATGTCTAAATGCACTGTCTCATTAAACAATTAAATCAAATCCTTCATTTTCCTTCCTCTCCTTATTTATTCCTAATTCCAACTCTTAATTTTTTCATTTTTTACCAAATTTCAACATAGATGAAACCCTCACCTGCTTCCTACATTTTCTCCAGAACAAAGAGCCTATAGCCATGTCAGAGAGAGTTTGCAGGTAGAGGTGGGAACAGAACTTGATGCTGCTCAGCATCACAGCTGGAATAGATCTGGTCTTACTTTTCTATATCCTCTGCTCAGCTACCAGGCAAAAACAGCAGGAAACCATTTTACCATTTTTGGTCACATTTAAAGAGAATCTATTTGCCTTTGAATGTAGGAGCCAACACTCAGATGCTGGTTAAGCACTGTATACCACAAGCTGAAGAAGACTAGGCTTTAATCTTTGGTCCTAGGCCCTGGTCTATGACCAGGATCACAAAAGGCTTAGGCTTGTTCCTTACATTGGTAGCAATTCCCAGTATAAGGCAGCAGGTGCTTCCCAGCTGAGTCTGACCAGTTCACACCAGCACAACGCACAGTGGGTGCCAAGTTCACACCTCAGCAGACCAAAATCTCCTGTGTGTAAACAGAAATTAATAACTCCAGACTCACACCCAGAGCACAAGTTTAAAAGCAGGATAGCAGATTTCAAACGTGGCATCCCCTGCCCTCAGGCAGCAGCATCCTGAAGGTCCATTTGGACTTGTGCAATGCACAGTGTTGTTGTTATATCATGAACCCAGACAGAATGAAAGGATTTATTTAGATACTCCTCCTGCTCACAGCCACAGGAACTGGCTGGGGCTAGTGTGTGTCCCTCTACAGCACAACAAGCTGACAAAGATTTACACACAACTTGCTGTGCAGCAATGACTACACAGACAGTGAGAGAGAAAGCAACTGTGTAGGTCTCACTCCATTATTTCTGACAGGTAAGACTCTGTGCTCTTCATTGTACTGATAATGAGTTCTATCTCATTTCAAAACTGTATTATGTGAGCTGCTGCATAGTTTATTAACATATATGGAAAAGCAGATTTCGATTATTCCTCTGGGAAGTTTCAGTTTGAACTTGGCCAGGATCAAATGCTTCTCTGACAAAGAATTATGTACAGCATTAAATAACCATTAAAAATGCAAGACATTTGTCTGCAAAGAGAGCCATGATTATATAACAACAAAATTAATCGTATGATTGCTCACGTTAAACACATCAAAGCTGACTTTGTGCTGAAAATGCACTGCAGGGTTTGCCCAGGTCTAGTGACTTATGCTGCCACTCTCTGGGTGAAGAAAAGGTGTCAGACACCTTTACCTTGCTGTAAACCATCTCTCCTTCCAGAACCATGTTACAGGCCTTCTCCAAACCCAGCTAACCAGGCCAGTGCAGACCATCAGGTGCTACCTGGTTACATGCTCTCTCCTCGGGTGCACTGCAACGGAAGCAGGATCCCATCCCTCTCCCTTTTCCACACAGTGATGGAATTAAATCATTACAACAAATTCTGTCTTAAACCAGTAACAGCAGATTTCAGCTTTCATTTCTAAAATACGAACAAGAGATCTGACTGATGGATCCAATGAGTCTCATTATATCTCCATACAGGTTTTGTGTGTCAGCTGAGTTTTTTGAGGTCAGAACTGGGCTGGCATTAAACCACACTAGGCTTCCAGTGTCAGCCTGCTGGCACGTAGGCTGTGGTCCTGGCAGCACTGGACACTTCACAGCTCACTTCTGGTGCTCTGCCTGCTCTTTTCTACCCAGCAGATACTGGAATGTTGATGTAACTACAGCACAGAATAATGGAAGAACATCTTTGAAGAACTACAGAGGAGAAAGTCTTTTATATTATTCGTTTCATTACACATCACAAGAGTGAAAGTTACAAAAGAAGATTAAACATTAAAAATGAACACAGAAAGTACTCTAAATGAAAACATCATGGTAAAGGTTGTGTCCACCTTGCTTTGTCATGAATCATAACATTCCTGTTGACTGTGAATGTATTTTTAAGCTGTTAAGTTAGAAAACGAAGACAAATTTTCATCACATTGATGAAAAATACACACCAAACAGAAAGTATCCAGAGAATGTCTGCATCAATCAGTGTGGTCTTTTTAGTTTGCATTGTTCCTATTTAATACTGCAAAGAACAATTTTAATTTGCTGTGCAGTTTCATTATTTGGTCCGGACAGAAACTGAATTAATTCCTGGAAAACAAATTAATAATTACAAGAAAACTTTTGTTTTACCTGGTGTCACTGTTTAACTAAACAAAATAGAATATTAAATTCCTCAGTGCAACTGTAAGGAGTAGAAATCTTGGACTGAGACCACAAAGTCAGAATACCCTGGAGATGCATTTTCTTTCCAGCCATCTATCTACTCTTTTTCTTGGTTTTCAAGCAAAATTCTCCTATCAGTTTAAATTTACACTGGATTATTTTCATCCCTCAGGCACTAAGAACCACTTTGTAGTTCTTCTCATCCTCGTATGGTTTTCTTTTTCCTTCCTGTGCTGCTTTACATGGGGTTTTCTGCTTTTTAGACACAAGTTCAAAAAGGGAGCTACACCTGACTATGAGATTTGACCTCCAAAGCAGGAGGAAGGGAAATGTGCTCTGCTGGGGATGTGGCATCTTTGAAGGTATTTTACCATTTCTTTGCTGTGATACATTCCAGCCAGGGACCACAGAAGATCACCATCCTTCTAAGTGTTGAAATTCCAGGTAGCAAAGAGAAACCATTTCAAGAGCACAAGAGCTCGCTCCTCTTGTGCTTGAAGAGGATCCATCACAGATACTGGTTCATTGGCTGGCAGAAACTGAGCTGGGAGTCTCTGTAGGCTCCTCTGTGGAAGTGGGGAGAACT